CCGAGTCGAGAGATGATGTCGCTTCGTCGAGGAGCAGAAGCTTTGGTTGGCGAAGCAGAGCGCGGGCGAGTGACAAACGCTGTTTCTGGCCGCCGGAGAGCGACATACCCTTTGGACCTAGACGCTGTGCGTAGCCGTCTGGCAAGGAGGTGATGAAGTCGTGGATCTGGGCGTCGCGACATGCTTGCTCGATTTCCGCATCTGACGCCGAGTCCACGGAGAGGGCAACGTTTTCTCGTATCGTGCCTTCGTACAGTGTGGGTTCTTGGGCCACGAGACTGATTTGCTTGCGGTATTCGGACGGGTCGAGCGTCGTGATGTCTTGTCCGTTGCACAAGATGCGACCGGAAGTGGCGTCGTAGAATCGTTCGAGGAGGGATATTGTGGTGGATTTGCCGCAGCCGCTTGCGCCGACGAGGGCGGCGAATTGGCCAGGTTGGATTTGGATGTTGAGGTTTGAGAGGACGGGTAGTTCTCGAGATGGGTAGGTGAAGTAGACGTTTTGGAATTCTATACCGACGCCTTTTTCTGATGTACTCAGGGGCGGGTAGGAAGTAGCCTTGTTGGTTGGGGGTGGGCGCATGCTCAGGATACGGTTAGCAGCACCGGTTACCTGAGCCATGTTTGGGGCGAAGGAAAAGAACATGCCTGCTGCGACGGCACCTGATATGATAGCTTGGTAGATGACGAAGAAGTCGACGTTGTTGTACTCGCGAGATGCAAGTAATGTGCCGCCATACCAGAACGTAAGCGCCATACAAGCCAGTTCGATACTATCGCTCCCTGCGAAGACGAGTGTGCCCCATTTTGCGCGTGAAAAGGCTTTGCTGATGTGAGTGCTCAGCAAGGTCTCGTACCGGTCGCCAATCATGTCTTCCATGATGAGACTCAGCACAGTGCGGAAGGCTCCAACGGCTTCGGTAGCGAACTGACTGCTGTCCTCGAAGATCTTGGCGTTGCTCTTTTCGAACTCGAGTTCCAGACGCATGCGGAGGTATCCCGCGGCTAGAATGAGTGGCAAAGCAGCAAAGAGGCCGACGAGAGATAGCTTCCACCCGTAGACAAAGGAGATGATGACACACCCGACGACATTAACGATAGCAATGAGCGCCATGCCCATTTCGGTTGCCATTAGTTGCTGAAGCTGCGTAGTGTCCGAACTCACTCTGGAGGTCAGAGAACCCGGACTATGCCCTTCTTCGTCGAAGAAAGAGATCCTCTTCCGAATCAAGTTGTACAAATATTCTTGCCTGTACTGTAGCGAGACTTGTGTGGCTATGAGATGAAATGCGAATCCCATAACAAAGTACGACAAGAATGTGCCTCCGGCAAGCACTCCAAACATGCCGGCCCAGAAGTTACCTTCACTGACGAGTTGGTCTCTTGGAAGCGTAAAGACGTTGATAACCTGGGAAAATACCCAGGCTTGGAGTGGCCAGACTGCACCGCTGGCTAGAATGCCGAAAATAGCGAAGCTGAACAGAATCCAATGGTGACGTTGTTCGAATAGCAGACGTCCGAAACTGGCTATTAACCCTTTCTCTTTGTATTCTGGATTCTTTTCTTCGGAAATGTTGTTGTTCTTTGCTTTCTCTTCGATGACTTCACTGATTGCAGTATTGATTCTCTCCAGGCCGGCGTCTTCGTTCTCGGCTTCCATGGCAATGTTTTGTGCGTGAACTAGGCCAAAGTAGACCCCTGCCTCAATCTTCAGTAGTTCATCGTGAGTACCTTGCTCTACCAATTGGCCTTTGCGTAGGACAACAATCTTGTCCGCACGCTTAATTGTAGAGAGACGATGAGCAATTACAATGGTGGTTCGGTTCTTCGACACGCGATCGAGTGCTTGTTGCACGATACGTTCTGTTCGCACATCAATTGCGCTGGTGGCTTCGTCCATGATCAAGATAGGTGGTTGCTTGATGATACTCCTTGCGATTCCGATCCGCTGACGCTGGCCGCCTGACAACTTGATACCGCTCTCACCTACCAGAGTCTCATAACCTTCTGGAAGCTTAGATATGAACTCCTCTGCATAAGCTTCGCGACACGCTTCTTCCACCATAACCATCTTCTCTTCTTTCGGTAGATCTTGATATCTTGTTCCGGTAAGACCGAACGCAACATTATTGTAGAGCGTGTCGTTGAAGAGGAATGGCTCTTGTTGGACGATACCAATCTGAGAGCGCCACCATTTGGCATCGATTTGTCTGATGTCAATCCCCCCGACTTTTATAGTGCCAGTACAAGTGTTGGGGCCGAGATTGGGCTCGCTCTCCTTAGTTTTATCGTCCTTTACCACTGTTTCTTGTTTCTGTTGACCTTTGCCTTCGTCGACGGCACGCTTCTTGAACCATCCAGACTTCTTCGGAGTCTCATCTTGTTTGGGTTCAGTGTGAGTTATTGAGGTGGCGGAGGAGTTGACGGGGAGATCGTGAGGCGTGGGCGAGGCTGTTGTTCCAAGGAGATCGTACCACCTCTGCACTAGGCCGACAATGGTAGACTTTCCTAACAGTTGGAACGGGATGTCAGTCATGTACTAAGAGCAATTCGCTGACGTAAACCACTTACCACTTCCGGATGGACCAACGATAGCTGTGACCTTGCCAGCTTCAAACTCGAGACCTAGTCCTTGGAGAATTGGAACATTTGGCCTACTTGGGTAGGAGAAGGCGACATTTTCGAACGTAATATTGGCGTTGGCAGTGACATCGGGCTCTTTCAATCCCGAAACATCTGGAACCGGCGCATCGATCGTTCTGAACAGTTCTGCAGCGGCTGTTGATGCCTTGACGATAGCAATGATTGGGGTAACGACTCTGCCAAAATTCACTACTGCCATCATGACTGCGAACAGGACGATAACAATAGTGCCAACGTTATTGTTCTTCCCCTCAGAATACTGCTTGATACCAAACCAGAAGGCAATACCCATTGTACCATATTGTCCTACCATCATAGGCGCGAAAAAGAGTCCTGAGAGAGGAGCAGCTCGCTTGAAGTTCTTTGCACTTTTGGTCAGCAGTTCTTCGTGCTGTCGTGCCAGCTTCGCCTCGGCCCCAAAAGCGACAACGACGCGAAGGGAAGAAAAGATTTCAAAAGCGGTAGCAGACGCATCCTCGCTGTACTTTTCAGTGATTTTGTGTATGCGCGTAAACGGAGGAATGATGATGCCCATGAGTATCAGGATGAAGGGCAATGAGGCTGATGCGACCAAGGTTAGCAATGGGCTCTGGATGAACGCTACAACGTATGCTCCAATCACAAAGGCAAACGCCTGGAACATCATAGCAAGCTGTTGTGATACAGCGACTTGGACCGTGTTTGCAGAGGTTGTAATTCGCGTGGACACTTTTCCGGGGCTGACAGTGTCAATTACACTAACGGGTTGTAGGAACAAAGCTCGTATGTATGCCAGACGTAGCGCAGCCGAGATTCGGAGGCCACTGATCCGGATCGTGAGCTGTGATGTGTTGATTATTTTAACTTGCAATTAGACGTTGTTTTCTCTTACCATGGACACATAGGATAAAACAAATTTGCCGATGAAGAGGTACAACAGGTACAGTGTCAAGCCATCGACTTCATCCTGGAACTCAGAGGACGTGACACTTGTCCCTGGCGTGAAGTAATCGGTAAACTTTCCTACGAGTTGGCCTGAAGGCTGTCAGCGGAACGAAAAGTTGCACTGCTTGTTTTTGTTGGATGGATACTCACCAAAGACTACAGTCATCAGGGGGAAAGCGATGCCCGAGCCAATTGACGTAACGAAACAAACCAGGATGAGCAAATAATCTAGATGCGTCCCGTAATTAAAAACACGCTGGGTTTTCCTTTGTTAGGTAGAGCATCAGATGCATCAGCATTACTTACAAAGTAGTTCTTTAGTCCATCTTGAGAAGCCTCTTTTGGTTTCGTAGAGACAGTTCCTCCATTATCCATGGGTTCTACGACGCTTTCTTTCCCCATTTTGTGGGATGTAGGAGTCTGGGTCGTAGCTGTAGCGTGGCCTCCCTAAAGGTCAACTGCAAGGGGGTGTGGCGGTCGACCCGCGGCTGCAGAGTCGATAACGACGAGGGGTGAATGGACAAAACACAGCTAGGCTGTAGTGTTGCACCGAAAACTCATTGTATTAAATAAGGGAGACAAACCAGACAGGGTGCAAAAGTCGGTGCCTGAAAGTCGGTTGTTTCTTCCCTGTCGTATAGCGCGTATCTCGTCTATGTACGCCCCCAAACAGGTGGCGCCATCCAATTTGGCATTACGGTGTGATAGGGTTTACGCACAACAAAGCAGACAAGAACTGCGAGCAGGGGTCGTTCTGCGATGCCAGCTTAGTCTGATGGTCTCCAGAGCGGCGGGCAAGTGTCGAATCAGATGTCTCCCCACCAGGCTGTACACACGTTCAATGTTTAGCTGTTGCAATTGAGGGGTTACGCTAACTACTGGACATCTCGCTTAGCCAGAGTCCTTCCCAATGGAGCGACTACTTGCGAGGCATTGTTAAAGGCCATTGCGCTCGTCCGTTCACGCGTTGGCTTTAGGCTTCCAAACTTTGCGTCAAGACGGATCAGCAGCAAACATATTCCACTAGTGGTTTCGTGCAGAATTCTGGTTGATGATCTTGTACTCTGTTCAAAATCTAAAAATAAGGCTCGGTGCATGTAGGTGAATCACAACCGCCGACAGCCCGACAACGTGGGCGCTTAGGCTTCCTACAGCCTCCTTGGACCCGGGTTCACACGACTGCAATATGCATACGCCTCAGTGGGAAATCTTGACTCTGTTTTCCTGGGGCTGGCTCTGCGATGAATCGCACATCATTGCCAAATCCAACCATGCTCACGGGCACCGAAGCCGGCTCGCTCCACTTTACATGCAGGCAAAGTCATGGCCAAGCGCCTGTACCAAGTTCAGCCGACATGTTTGTTACTATTGGTTTAGTGCAAGGCAGACACACTCTTGTCCAATTCTGCAGGTAATCTCGTAGCAACGCAATCATCATACATGTTTGTATTTGATGCTCAAAAATAGCAATTATATGTGTTGATATTTGCTCAGCCCTCCGATATACAGAACCACCACTGCCGACTATCCGCTCAGCCAATTTCTCCATTCTTTCCCTCCATATTCCTCAATGCCCCAATATCTCTTCTCCGCCTTGCAACCTCTTTTCTCTTTTCCAATCTCACCAAACTCTCCACCAGCCTCTCCATCAACCACTCACTTTCGCTGTTTCCAGAGACCAAAGGGCTACGCTCACCAAGCCAATCCCAATTCACTAGACCTTCCTCGTTCTCATCGTCTGTTGAATTGCACTCGATACCTAGATAGCGATCTAGACGCTCTGGGTGCGTTGCGTGGATTAAGCGTGTAAATTCGACCCATTCTTCATAACTATAGCGCTTGTTTGGTTTTCTCAGGTCAAAAGACACCTTTTGGATACAGAGCGCTAGCTGGCGGGATATAGATGCACCAGTCGGGGCTTGGGGAAGCGAGATTTCTGGAGTCGCCTCAGATTCTTCAGGAGCTCTGTCGCTGTCTCGCGGGTTCTCTAAATCTTCGGAAGGACCAGCGTCGTTGTCATCAACGTTAGGAGGATCAGAGCTATTGCTATCGACAACTCCGACTTCGAACCCTTTCTTCAAACGATTCCTACGTGCGTGGTATTCTGTAACGCGTTGTAACCATTGAAGAAGCCAAGGGTGCTTGTCAAGAAACGAGCGCCATATGCCTGCCTTAGGTAACACGGTAAAGTCGGCAAACTTATCACTCCATTTCTTGAAGTTTGCCACCACCGTGTCTCCAAGATTAGAAACTAAGATGGTCATGGTTGGGACGGCGATCAAGCTCCAAACGACAAAGAAGCACCGTCCAGAATTGGTCTTTGGGGCTAAATCTCCGTACCCAATGGTGAGCAGGGAGACATAGCAGAAGTAGAGAGCGGGGAAGTAAGTTAGTCCCTGGCTATCCTTCTCAGTTATCATGAACACAAGAGCCCCTACGCACCAAAGGATTAAGAATGTGGTGGTGGACCAGAAAAGTGCCATCCACTGCTTGAACTTTTTAGAATCCTCTTGGATCTTGCGCATGACTTCGAATCGATCTTTTTCTTCTTTCAAGACCAGAATTCGTCTTTTCGAAGTCATGCCGAGAGCGTGGGTGACGCGTGGGATTGCCGAGGTAGTATGATTGGTGTTCTCATGCACGGGTTTGCGTAATTCTCGCAGTTCAGTCGGTGCAGATATTTTAGGAAATCCCAGTTTGCGCTTTCTGATGAGGTGATGGGCGTCATGTTCGCGATGACGAAGATCGAAAGAATTGGTCACTGTACGCTCGACGGCGCTTTCGCGCAGGCGGTCCACATACTTCTGAACAATCTTCTCGTCACCCAGCTCGCGTACTGCGGTATAGAGCGAAGAGACAATAAGCGCCAAGGTGATGATGCCCCCGACCGAGTAAGGGAAGACGATACCTCTGGTCGCAGCAGTTGATGGTACCATATCGCCGAAGCCGACTGTGAGAATCGTGACATCGCAAAAGTACAGAGCATCCGCGAAGCGCCAACTATCGTTACCAGCATTTTGTTCAAGTTTGGCAAATACTGCGGAGCCACCAGCCAGCCAGATAAAGAATGCCATCGTCTGGAGGATGAGTGTCCGTTGGCTGTCACTGAGTGCAAAGTTTTCTGGGTAGTGGCCTAGAAAGTAACCCAGCATATTGACCATGAGGATCATGGAACATATAGTGTAGAAGGCTGCGGCTGCGATGGCGTACCAGAATCCTTGGGTGTATGTTTCTTGCGGACGCACAGGCGGTGCGTACGTGTTCATACATATGGTAATTGCAATAAGAAAGCCAGACGACAGATACCAGAGTATTACAGTGGCCGGCAGAGCAATGATATATCGGATTCTTTGTGTAAAGTTGAGTAGAAGAAAGATATTTCCGAGGAATCCACAAATCAGGGAGACGACGTTGATCCAGTAACACCTTGATTCTGTCAGCTCAGATTCGTCGATGATTCCGGAGGGTGCTTCCAGTTTTGACTAAAAGCATCACTTACCATCGCGGATCACCAAATGGTACCCCCTCAAAATCGGTCAATACTTCGCCATTGATGATATTCTTCTGTCTCCAAGACGTTACTAGGGCAGCGATAGAGCTCACGTTTGCTAGTGGTCCAAGAGTCGCGGCTAGAAGGGGGATGCCAGTGCTCGCAAACCACCAGTCGGCTTCTTCTTCCTCCCATTTCCTCAATATTTTCCACCATCTCTTCCTTTTGTTTTCTCCATTCATTGGAGTTTTGGTCATGTTAGATTCGGTCTGCTGTTGTGAGCCGGTTGGCTGATTTGGCATTTCGTCTTCATGTTGCATCTTTGGTGAGCCGCGTTTATGTTCATCACTGGGTGCAACAAGCGGTGCAGGAGAATCCACAGTAACGAGTGTTGATCGAATGCACTACAACAAGGAATCCTGGCGAATATCCTAGACCGTCGCGATAGCGAAATGCTAGACGTGCACTCCAGTAGACAGCAAAAACCTGATAGCTTTCAGATGAGAGTCACGAGGCAACAAGCCGTTTCAGATGGTGCGCAAGTGCAAATCCAATAACGCTGTGAATGGCTAGCAACGCTTTTCGCAGGTGACCAGAAGCGTTCTCGCTCACTATTGGATGGCGGATAAGTCGAGATTCGCGAAGAGAACACGGGGAAAAAGAAAGGGAGAACAAGTACAAAAAAGAGAAGGAAAAGGCTGTGCCGTATTCACATATTCGCACACGCGCGTGTATCCACTGACTGTACCTTCAGTAAAAGCGCCGGACTCGTCGGCTTTCGATTGGAGCACATGACAAGGGTAGTTGGTGTAGGACGATCAGCTACTGACGTGCGCCAAGACTTTGAATATACATGTAGACTAAGCTGAGGAAGCACGCATGATTAACATGTGTCGAGTGCATGCGCAAATAGTCACAAGATTTCTGGGTGATATTTTGTGCACGGGGATTACAGGGGTTTGGTCTGAGAATATCTCTGATAGCTTTTGCAAACATTGCTAAACATTTGTACATTGGAACTATTGTTGCTGTAGTCGCAGAAAGAAACATAACATGAGTTGAATCTACAATCGTTCGTTTAATGCACGCCAAGATTATGAATTTCTATGTTAAGTTAGCCAACCGAGATGTCAGTGTCACGTAAGCTATCTATGGGCCCTAAGAGATTTAGCAAATACACCGTGAACGCTGCACTTCTCTGCAGTCCTGGTGAAAAGTTATCATAACTATTTTACATGTCTAACATTTGATATGTATGTTTTTTTCTACTGCGACTTGAGCTTCTCTGTTAGCTCAGGGACCTTTTCGAAGAGATCGCCAACAAGACCAACATCGGCAACCTGGAAGATTGGTGCCTCAGGGTCCTTGTTGATGGCAGCAATGACCTTGCTGTCCTTCATACCAGCCAGATGTTGAATGGCTCCGGAGATACCGGCGCATAGGTAGAGTTGTGGCGCAACATTCTTTCCAGTCTGTCCAACTTGCAAGCTGTTGTCAGCGAAGCCACTGTCGACTGCTGCTCTTGAAGCACCAATGGCAGCACCAAGCGCATCTGCTAGAGGTGGCATGAGCTTGTCAAACTCCTCCTTTGATTTCAGACCACGTCCTCCTGACACAACCTTGTCTGCTGAGCCGAGGTCAGGTCGGTCAGATTTTTGGAGGTCCTCGGATATCCATTCAGTCGGGCACTCGGCCTTGGGGTCGACGCCCTCTTCCACGGTTGCGTTTCCACCTTCAGTCTCGGGTGCGGGGAATGCAGTGCCTCTAACGGTGATGACCTTTGTGCTGTCGGACGATTGAACAGTCATGATGGCGTTACCGGCGTAGATTGGTCGGACGAAGGCTGCAGGTTACGTCAGTTCTATTGTTCAGCGATGCTAAAACCTCTGACTCACTATCTTCGCTTTCAATTCCAGTAATATCAGATATTTGTTGCGAGTCGAGCAGGGCCGAGACGCGGGGCATAATGTTCTTGCCAAAGGCCGAATGACCGGCAATGACATGTGTGTATCCGCCCTTCTTTATGTTCTCTACCAGGAGAGGCGCATAGTTCTCGGGGAGAGACTGGAATACGGTCAGCTCATCGAATGCAATGACTGCTTGTGCTGCCGACCTTGTCGTATGCGCCATTCTCAACGTAGATGACCTTTTCCACACCCTTTGACTTTGCGGCCTCTTCTGCGACAGCCTTGACTCCATTGCCCGCAACAAAGGCTGTTATGGAGCCTCCAATCTTTGTTCCGGCTGCGATGGCAGACAATGACTGGGATACGATCTTGCCATCTTTTTGCTCAAGGATAGCGAGGGTTGAGGCCAAGCGTGCAAAGGCCGAGTACTGAGGGACGGCGATGGGTTGCGACTGTCTAAGCCGAGTTCGGGCAGTCCGTAGGGCGCATTGGCGGGCGGCGGAGAACATGGCAGGCGAAATTGGCGCAAGACCCAGAGGAGAGGATAGCAGCCAAAAACGAGATAATTCGAGGAAGAATGCGGGTTCAAGACTGGGACTGGCAACGGCACCTCGACCAGATGTGCGGGACGGCAACCTCGGTTTGACCAGGCTGGATGGCCGGCGCTAGCCCTGGGGTGCGGAGCGCCATGTTGGTCACGTGATCAGCTGCTCCTTAGTGGACTTTTGCTTGGGCCTGGTCGAGCATCGCGAACTTCAGACGCGACTCCATTGCACCCCATCGCCTCCCCCTCATCCCCACCCTCCCGCGCCCACCACACGGCTGCAATTCGCCTCTTCATCCTGCCCGCGATCGCGCAGTCGCTCTACGACCCTGCGCACCGCGATTTTCTCGTGCACCACCGCACCACGCTGTCAAGCGCCTCATCGCATCGCACGTCTTGTCTCGTACCCTCGTAGCTATGGCCGACGACGCAACAACAAGCGCATCCGCCCAGGACCCCACTCTCTCCGGAGAAGGCGCCGCAGACACCAATGCGCTTGATCAAGGTAGGCCACAGCTCTCCGTACCTGTTCTGTTGCATGCATCCCCAGCCACGTCGATGATTTGGTTGTACACATGTCTCCAGATCATCATGGCACCAGTCTTCTCTCCACCTCACCCAAAACACTGTGCGGAACCAAGAAGTTCAATGTGCTAAGTATCCACTCAGACACAAACATGCTCGAAGACACTGCCGTCAAGGCGTCGTCAAATGAGCCCGCGACTGCAACACCTGCTGCCGCATCCGACAACCCTCTAGATGCACCCGACGCACCACGGGCGGAAGCCGAAGATGCGGATGGTCAAGAGGATGAAGAGATGGGCGGCACCGACGATGCAAAGAAGGAGGGCGAAGGCGCCGAAGCTGCGGATCCCGAAGCACAAGCAAAGGCCGATTTGCAATCAGCAGCACGCTCCCACTTTGTCACGCAGACTTATGCGACCATCATTCCAAGCTACGCGACTTGGTTTGACATGCGCTACATTGACTACCGCGAGCGCAAGGCTCTACCAGAGTTCTTCAATAACCGCAACCGCAGCAAGACCCCGGCCGTCTACCGCGACTACCGTGATTTCATGATCAACACATACCGCCTCAATCCATCCGAGTACCTCACAGTTACTGCATGCCGAAGGAATCTTGCTGGAGACGTGTGCGCCATCATGCGCGTACACGCCTTCCTTGAACAATGGGGTTTGATTAATTATCAGGTACATCTCACGCCATGATACGCCCGGATTAAGACTGATAGTATCTAGGTTGACCCACAGGAACGCCCATCGAACATTGGTCCACCCTTCACCGGCCACTTCCGCGTCACAGTCGACACCCCCCGTGGACTCCAGCCCTTTCAACCAGGACCAGGCTCAAAAGCGACAGAGGGCAAGCAACTCGCAGCGACTGACCGTGCCGCGAGCCAACAACCCCTTGCAAAGAGCGAGACCAAGTCTCTAGCGGGCCGAAACATCTACGAGCCCAATGGCAAGGAGGCTTCCGTGGAACCCAAGGCTGCGAATGGAGAAGCGGCTGCAAACGGCGGATCAGTCGATGTCAAGGACCTCGAGGCCGCCGCCAAAGAGCCAACCAAGGTTATCAACTGCTTCAGCTGCGGTGTCGAATGCACACGCGTACATTTCCACGAGACGAAGCCCTCCGAGCAGCCAGGACAGCTCAAGGCTGCTGGAGGTCTGAAGCGGGATCTGTGCCCTAGGTGTTTCGTAGAGGGCAACTTCCCATCCGGCACATCATCAGCAGACTTCACCAAGATCTCGAATCCAGAGGATTTGGCAGCTACCGAGACCGAGGAGAAGTGGACCGAAGAAGAGACCCTCCTACTACTTGAGGGTTTGGAGGAGTTCGATGACGACTGGAATCGCGTTGCAGACCACGTTCAAACAAAGACCCGCGAACAGTGTGTGATGAAATTCCTACAACTCGAGATTGAGGACAAGTACATCGAGGCAGATCTACCAGAGTCACAATCCGCGGCCCCTTCAACCAAATTCCTACGCGATCTTGAGTACCTCAGCGAAGGCCGCGTCCCAATTCACCATGCAGACAACCCGATCTTGAGCGTAGTCAGCTTCTTGGCTGGTCTGGCACCTGCAAACGTCACTGAAGCCGCAGTCGCTTCAGGGCGCAGTGTCAACGAGATGAAGCGCATCTTGCAGGAGAAGATCAATAAGGCCCCAACAGCCCCCTCAGAAAAGGGCAAGGAAAAGGAAGGCGAGCAGTCCACACCCGCAGCCTCAGATATGAAACCAGAGGGCGGAGACGCCATGGACATTGACACATCTGCCGAATCCACCGCAGTAGCCACAAAAGAAGCAGGCCCTTCTTCAGGCGGCAACCCGCTCGCCACCCTCCCCTTTGCCCTCTCCGCCGCGCGCTCATCAGCGCTCGCCTCCCACGAAGAGCGCCACATCACGCGCCTCGTCTCTGGTGCCGTCAACCTGCAACTCCAAAAGCTGCAGCTCAAACTCGCCCACTTCAACGACTTCGAGAAGCTCCTCTCGGCCGAGCGCCGCGACCTCCAGCGTCGCCGCCAACAACTCTTCATGGACCGCCTCAACTTCCAACGCCGGGTCCGCGCCCTCGAAGACGCCACCAAGAAAATCAGCTCCTCAATGGGCGGCCAGGGCCTGCCTGGTAGCATGAGCAACGAGGATGCCTTGCAGGCGCTTACAGAGGCTATTCGCATGTTTGGCGTTGGTAAAGGAGAGGATAGCATGGGGGTGAAGCGCGACAGCGTTGATGCGGGGGTTGTGATGCCAGTTGCTGAGGGTGCGGAGGGCTACAGTAAGATAGAGATTTAAGGAAATGTGTCTGGCCTGTGGTATTGGGGTATTCTTCGTTGGTTCCTTTCCCTTTCCTTCTTCACACACACGGCATTTACATGTGGGGAAGAATCAGACGAGGACGATGAAAGTTGCAAAAAGACTCACGCGCTCTCCCCCCCCCCCTATCTCCCATTCAACTTACATTGTCGGGGTCCTGGCTACGGCTGCTCCCCCATGTTGCGATGAGAGAGGGAGGATCCCGAAAGTTTTTTCTCAAACTTCGTGCGTGGATGTGGATGTTTTGTGCGCAAGTCATATGTGCCTCTCCGAACGAAATGGGATATTGGTGTTTTTTGGGCGTTTTCTTTTTCTTCTTTTTTTCTTTTTCTATCGATTGAAATGGGGAGGGGTATGGGATATGTCTCTCTCTCTCTCTCTCTTCCAGGTACTTTATGGCACAGAAATTCCGGGGCTTTTTTTGTCAGGCAGGTTTTCCAACCTTGCTATATATCGGTGTTGTTAGAGTGGCAGTAGCAGTAGCAGTAGCAGTAGCAGTAGCAGTAGTACTATTCACGTTGTTGTTTTTTTTTTTGAATCTTTTCCATCACCAGTCGCTAACTGTCGTAAAGCACGATTATGGTGTTACACTTATGTGATATAGTACAGCTACGTAATATAGTACACGTGGTAAGTCATGCTTCTCTCGTATCTCAAGCCTCTCTCCCATCTACTTCTGGGAAAGCCTCTCTGTTCCTGGTTCACTTGCGTCATGGCTGTCCTTGGGTACCAGGCTCTTGCTCTCACTAACCGGCTCCTGCTTCTTCATTTGCGCATCTGCCTTTTTGGCTTTCGCAGTATCACTCGTGTCCTTTGGCTTTTGACTGCTCTTCTCCTTCTCGCTCTCTACACTGCTCATATCTCCCCTGGCATCGAATACAGGGTTGTGCCTGCTTTCAGACTTGTATTCTTCAGGTACAAGGCCAGCATCCGGGGCAATTGGCTTTGACTTGCGCTCGCCGGTGGATCTGTCTTTAACCAATCCCGAATCTTCAGTTGTCGCAAGCTTAGGTGCAGAGTCGGCCTGAGGAGCGAAAGCGGTGGAAGGCTGACTCGATGTCTCTGCCGGTTCGGGAGCCGCGCTCATGTCGTCATCAGCGTCATCAGAGTCAAGCTCGGAGCCGTAGATCTCGGGGTATTCACGGAAGCAGTTCTGCATGTCCCTAGCGCTTTGTTAGCAATCTACACGATTCCAAAATTGGGCTCATTCCAAGCAACTGCGAAGTGGTGAAGCGTACTTGAATTTGTCGATGCAGTCCATGCCCTTGGGTTCCTCTTTTGAGTAGACAAAGCAACTGAATGCCGATTTGAACTGCTCACCGCAAGGGCCATGAGCCATACCCCCCAAGCATGGGCAATCCCAATTGATTTCTCCAGTCTCTGGGTTGAACGCGCCTTGCTGATCTGCCTCTTCTTCTAGTCCTTCTATTCCTCCTTCTCCACCATTCTGCTGTGCACTTTCGGCCTCTTTTTGCTTCTGAATCTCCAATTGCGCTTGCACCGCCTGTCTTCGCTTGCGTTCTTCAGAGATCGATTCGATGGTGGGAAGGTGCTCAGATTCTACTTCGGTTTCTGGGAGTGCCTGGACAAGCTCTGGAAACCTTGTTAGTTTTCTGATCCCAATCGTTGTGCTATCCGAAGTCTAGACATACGCCTTGGCTCCTCCGCGAAAACATCCGTTGTGTTGTAGTAATATATTATAGCGCCAGCTATGCCTACCCGTGCAACCAAGCTCTTGAAACTTCTTGACTTTTGTGATGGCGGAGCTGTGCTGATGTAACGCTTGGTGGGTGCGACGGACCGCAATGACGCAGTCCGTAGCGCTGGACGCGCAATTAGTCGCGGTGCCGCTCGAAACATGTTATAGAAAGATATGAAACAAAGAAGGGAGAGTCAATGAGTGTCGTGACGGGTGTTGAGGACTGGAAGATACGCTGTCGTCACCATGGAAAAGTTATGGGACCTGCATTTCTAAGCGGAAAGTGCAGGGATCTGCATCGTCGGCGATTGACAGTCACGTGCACTGTAACTGATATCACCCCATCATTCTCTACGTCAACTCATCATATGATAATCAAAACGAATTCAAGCACATTCAGCACAGGTCTTTTCCGATTGTTCATAAGATTGTAATATAGAGATAATAGAATGGGTATATTGAATGTCAACCTCGTATGTACAAAAGTCGTCTTGGGAAAGCATCCCTCTCGAAGTCGAAGTCAAATCTAAAGCTCCAAGCTTATTGTGTTCTTCCAGTATAGCAGTACACACTTAGTACTTAAACCAGTCAAAGCCGAATTATCAGAGTCTAGACAATGAAGCCACTGTGCCAAACTCGACATTACAATGGTACTTTAGCCGAATGGAGTAGGGTTTTGGGCGAAGATTGTAGCCCGCATTTATTGCGGCGGGTTTCTCTTGAAGAAATACCTGTTTCAAATTTAGTAAATGACTCTTACCACACACACAAAGAGCAAGTGATAAAACATACTGGCTGACGTAGTAGTCACCAACACCAAACAGTCCAATCGCAGCAGCCCAGGCAGCGACGACTTTGCCGGTCAGTTCACCACGTGCATATTGCCTGTAGGCACCAAATCCGACAATGCCACCGACAATGGCAAGGCCTACTGCATTACCAATAACAACGGGGTTGTCAGCGTTCTTCTTCGCCTTCTCCTTGGCAGACTCCTTCTTTGCAGCTGCCCGTTCTTTCAGCTTCTCAGCTTCCTCCTTGACTTCCTCTTCGCGTTGTATGCGTTCAGCTTGTGTGTCGGTTTTGATAGATTGCGACTCATAATCAGAGGGCACGGAAGAAATGTGAGGGCTGTCTACGTCGACGAGCGATTGAACACTGTCATCAGGGGTATGTTCGACTTGTGGGGGTGCGGGCGCACGACTAATTTTTCACGTCAGTACTGTGATTCATGCTGTTTGTAAAATCCATCCATTTCTGCAAGGGGATCGGACTGTCAGCAGAGTCTGACCACAGAGCTTCAAAAAGCGCAGCTACCGAGCCAATTCTTCAACAAGGAAGAGATGAGTTCACTTACGCCTACCCCATTGTCAGCTATGGCACGTACTACAAAGTCTCTCGTTAACAAACTTACTTCTTCAGGGCTCTGCTTAGGGCCCTTGGCAGCCATCTCTGCGTAAGACATGATGTAGAGGAGAAGATGAGGTGATTTTTGGTAGGTGGGAAAGGGTCGTGTGAGACTGAGGTGTGAGAAGCAAATCTGTTGATGGATGCCGGGAAGGTGTGGAAGGTGACAGGCGATAGCGCGGTACTGGAAACAGGCTGCCTCACATGTTTATTCGCTTAGTGGGTTACCACATGACGTCATTGTGAGCGCGTTAGCGCGTTGTCACAAAACTGCCAAGCATAGGAACAGCACATGCTTGTGGAGCATGTGAATTGTCAGAGATTCTAGACCATATATCACACCCCTGAACTCGTTTCCAATTGACTTGCAGAAAGCGCATGATATGCTGCTTTTTCAGGAATCTATGACTATGCCACACCTTACGCTAAGATAACTAAACAAAAACAAAGCCCTGGAGGGTATAATAACAAATTCCATCGTCACCATCAATACATCCCTGACAGTCGTTGGTATGAAAGCCATCCAAAGCCAAATACAGAGTCGTATGATACAAGGAGATAGAAGAGAAAGAAGGGATCGAAGCCGTATTATAACATCCAGTATCGACGTACGAAGATTGAAGATGAATGCAACGACGCTGGCGAGCAGATAAGGAATAAGCGCTTTTCAATATTAGAAATGTGCCCAACGAAACTGTACAAGCTACGCATTGAGAGCCTAAATCTGTGTCTGGCTCATCTATTCGTCGCCAAAGACGGCCTTGTAGTTCTCAAGGAGCGCTTGCACGGCAACACGTTGCTGCTGAACATCTGTAAGCTCGCGCTGAATGTCCAGAGGTCGCATGATGGTTGGCGCGAAAACGACGGCAACGTTCAACGGTGTCATCTGAGGATGCAGTTAGTAAGGAGTGCGTGTGGAACGATGCCTAGGGAGATGCATACCAAATTGTCATTAGCATGCTGGATGACGCGCGAAAGATGAAACACAAGGAACTGGAGCGTATCGCGGTGAGCCTTGGGTATTTCATTGACAGCCGCAGACAAAGCCTTGGCTTGTGCACTCGGCTCTTCAAGTTCTGGACAAGGGTTAGCTGTGATGAATTGAGTGAATGAGGGTTGGGACTTACGGCCAGCTTCCAAAAATTGGTCATAGACGTCAAACGTGATCAGAGGTACAGGAAGCCTTCGGAAGTAATTCTTGAGAGCAGAGGTGATTGAGTGGATGTCCAGGTCGGGATCGGAAATATCATGTTCTGAGTCTGTCTCGAAGCCTTTGCGGACCTGGTTTACTTGGGATGTACCACCGCTCTTCCGATAGATACCTTCGACGTCCATACCACGCAGTTCCACTTCTTCAATGCATCGACTGACGATGCGAGGGATCATCTGTTTTTCGAACTCGCATCTGGCAGTTAGATCCGAACCGAAGAGCACGGTGCTGGCGTCAGCAGGCAGATTGAGACTACTTTCGTTGTGCTGCATTGGCCTGTATTGAGGTTGACCTGGTTTACCACCTGTAGGCTTTCCACCAAACCAGCCACGCTGAGCGTTCTGGTCTTGTTGGCTGCTCTTGATGGAGCTGGACATGGAAACGAGATCGGGCTGTTGGTGCACTGAGCCATAGGGAGTCCCGATGACTTTGATTTGATAGTCCTCCTGTTTCTGCTCTGAGCCGAATGCTCCCTTGAATCCCTTTGTGACGTTCTTGGTAATGGCTTGGCTACCCTTCTTCCAGGTGGAGAACTTGGTAGGCTTGCCCGTCTTTCTGATGTTGACAACTTGTGGCTGAGCGACGGTCGCTTCAGACTCGGTGTCATGAAGGTTGGCGTATGAATGGTCATGGGGAATGGATGTCGTATCCACCGAAATTTCCGATTTTCCACCCTTTTGTTGAGCGGTGTATATACCCAGACCGTTCGGAGGAACATCAGCACTTTGCCCAGGCTTTTTGTTGTTCTTTAGGTTGGTCTGTATGTTGTCTACTATGTCGCGGTTCATGGCAGAAAGTCTTGTATTGGCGGCCGTGAGCGATTCGTATTCCTGGAAACCCTTGTCTTTCATCTGGATGAGATTGGAAATCTCCTCAGTCAACTCCGATCGCTTAGTGATTAGATCTTCTATTTGATGACCTAAATTGTCTTTGAGCTTCTGTAGGGAGCTTCCAAAGTCTTTGAGAATGTCTGACTTGAGCTGGCCAATGTCCATGGAACCTTGACTGTTCTTAGCGCGCTTGAGGTGTTCAGTCATAATCTCCAACTCGCGAATAACCATTTCACGTTGTGTGTCCAAGACAGCCATTGTGTTTCGCTTTTCTCGCAAAACCGTATTGGCTTGTTTGATGTCAGCTGCGCTGTGCATTGATTCCTGTAGCCCGTTCTTTTCAGCCTCGAGCTCTGCAATCCGCTGCTGGGCACGGCGCAGTTCGTTCCTCAGGTTGGCGCCTTCTTCTTTGGAGTCTGGTGAGGGCACGGTGGGGCTGCTGATATCGACCGAGCCGTTGGCAGGCCATTTCTTGTGACCTCGTGTAGTGACGGAACGATCACTAAAACTACGCCCATGCTTCGAGACGGCGTTTGAGACTCTTCTGAGAACACCGCTTTCTTTATCATCCCTGCCTTCTTGATTGCCGAGGAGTCGCGCAAAGTCTTCATCCATGGAGAAATCGCCCTGGTGACTGTAACGAGGAAGTCCGCCCGGAGGATAGGTATCTCGAGAAGCCTCGCTGCTCATAGACTCGCTCGTCTTGTGAATCTGTGCCGAAGGTGGCTGTGGAGGAGCACGTGGAGAGGTGAATGTGTCAGTCGGGGGTGGTGCTGGTCGGCCGCCCGAACGTGCAGGAAGAACAGGGACATCTGAGAGACTTCTGGAGGATGGTGTATCCGCCGCAGCAGTGATACCGAGACCCGCGTTCAGTTGCGCCGTAGCCGCAGTCGCAGACGACGATCGATCCGGGTGGCTCAAAGTCGGAGTCGTGGGCGAGCCACCAGCTCGATCGTGTTGGGATAGAGGTGCGGAAGACTTGATGGCGGTGGGGTTAAGGGAATCACCACGTGCTGGCCGTTCAACAACCAAGTTGGAGCCAAACGATGATTCTGAAGTATCTGGCGAGTCTTGCGAACCAATGGGTGGAGAAGATGTGAACGATGCTTCCATGAAGGAACGACTGTGGCGGGAAGGCGTAGCGGTATTGGAAGCGCTGCGTTGTTGGGGCTGGCTGTAGGAGGAAGCTGTATCGTCAGAGTCTTTGCGCTTTGCATCTGCCTTCTTGCTCTTTGGGACGTCTTGTAACTTAAAGGGCTCTGCAGCTGAAGATGGCGCAGGAGAAGCATGCTGACTCTTGGACCGAGGTTCAGCTAAAGTAGACTCATTGATGCCATCCTTCTTCTTCTTCAGCGTGTCCACCATTGTGTCCGAAGGTTGCCTTCCCTTCTCTTGGTAAGCAATATGGGGGCTTCCAGCCTGCGGTTGGTAAGTCTGCCTTCGCTCTTTGGAGGCATCTCGTGAGCCATTCTCCTTTAGCTTTTCGCGATGATCGGCAGTAGGCCTGTTGAAGTAGTCGCGGCCGCTCTTTCCCTCTACGTTTCCGGCTGACTTTGCTCCTTGTCGGTCGTTGATCCTGCTCGTAGGTCGACCGAGGGGTGATGGGCCTGGTGCCGGGTTTGGGTCGAGAGCGAAGGGAAGAAGGATGCCGTCGTCGCCAGTATCGGCTGGTTCTGAGCGACTGGCGTCTTTGCCGTAGGTGGTGGCGGGAAGTGTTGTGTTGTCTGTGTATCATGGATTCGTTAGCTATGAATTCGAACCGACAGGGCATGGGTGTTTGGCAAGACGAACCTTTTCGAGACAGATCTGGGATAGGCGATGCATCGCGCCTGAAGTTTGAAGACGAATCGCCTCTTCTTGGATGAGGTGGCCTGGGAGATGCATCCGTTGTAGGGGGCTCCGAAAAGGCTTCCGAAGGCGTGTCCAGGTCTGGGGTGAAAGAGCTGCTGGCTGGCTCCTGAGGAGGCAGAGCTGGCAGAGACTTGTCTACTTTTGGTGCAATTGAGGGCGGCTTTTTCGATTTCTTGCGCCGGCGGGCCATGAGCGACTCATGACATGACATGCAGAAGATTCCCTGTGAAGTACGGGCATAGCGGAGATTTTCAATCTTGCGCTTGCAATTCCGGCACCTGAAGCAATTGGCACAAAAGGCCTGGTCACCGGTCAGAATGGCGAGGTCTTCGATCTTGTTGCCGCAGTGGTTGCAGCTGTATGTACAGTTGTTGCATATCAGGGAGCCGTCGCCCAGGAGGAGCAGATTCGCATCGGAGTCGAGAAGGGTGCCGCAGGTGTTGCAGCGGAAGCAGTCGATGTGCCATCGGTTGCCAGCTGGACAGTGTTAGCGAGCGTGCGGGGAGGATGTGAGTTGGGCAGCGTAGGGCGGAGCCGGGCACGGAGGACAGGGCAGGACAGGGCAAGGAGGGCATACCGAGCTCGAATGCTTTTCCTTCTTCGAGGATCTGGAGGACGTATGTGAGCAGGCTGGCGAGAGGAACAAGTGATTGCTGGGGGCGGCGCGGGTGCATACCTCTCCACATCCTTTGCAGGGATACACGACCTCGTCGTCGATTGGAGACTCTGGATAGGCTCCTGGGCTTTCCATGGTGTAGGTGCGATGTGGACTGGGGCGGGCGTGTATGGATGGGTAGGGAGGGTAGGTGTCCGGCAGCCAGCACCAGGCGTGTTGGTGGGCGTAGGTGGTGGTGGTGGTGGTGGTGGTGGTGCAGTTGAGTGGGCGGTCGGTCGATCGGTGGCCGCCCCCCCAAGAGCGTTGTCAGGTTGGTGGTGGGCAGCGTCGCAGAATGGGCAGCGGCTTGGTCGGCGGCGGCGACAACGGCAGGGTCACAGACACCGGCAGGGCGAGTGGGAGTGGGCAGCGAGTGAACGGCCTCTGTGCGCGACGAGGGTATTCGACGACAGCTGCACATCCGTCCCCCTCTGGCGTGCTATGTGTGTGGAGGGAGGCCCTGGGCCATGAGCAGAGCCAATGAGCGGGACCAGCCTCGACCGCCGGTGCGCCCTGACCTGGGCAGGGTCTAGGAGAGAGATACGCGGCAGCATCCATGCCCGCAGTGCCGCAGTGTCCAGATGCACGCTACGCTCTGCATATGTCCTGCACACCGGCCCTCGGGAGCCCGCATCATCTTGTGCAGACATGGCAAAGGAGCGGTGGTGGTTGATGGCGAGCCGCCGGATGCTGGGTGCGGCTGTGGCTGTGGCTGTGGCTGTGGCTGTGGCTGCTGCATGTGGCTGCCATGCGGTGTGGCAGTTGGCTGTGGCAGTTGGGCATGTGCTGTCTACGCTGTCTGCTGGACTCGACCGTGTCTGTCCTCTCTCCTCTGCCCAGCACACGGCCTGACAACAGACAGCGAGCGAGGGCCAGGCGGGCATTTCTCATCACGGCATGCGCACATTGCCCCACGCTACGCTAGCAGAGCATTACGAGGGCGCAAAGGCGTAGAGGCCCTGCCAAGACACACGCCATCGCAGATCGCCAGCTCCTTCGCCTCTCGTAACCCGCGCCAATGCCATGCCGACCCGCCTAGATTGCAACCGCTCTCACACCGTCTATTCTGGAGACATTAGACTACCTCTGCACACACACCCACTCCAAGGGGATACACATGAACACGTAATATATGCAACCGCTGCTGCCCCGGTGGCGTCCAACATGGATGGTGCCATCCTCCTGCCAAAGCACCGCACCGTATTGCACTGCACTGCACTGCACAGCACAGAACACCAACATCGAGCACAGCGCAGCCGTGGGCCATCAGCATCACGAGTCGGACAGGGCCTCGAACAAGCATCGTCATTGCTAATCACCGCCCATTGCTTCCTCCTCCCAGCCTCCTGTCCTCCCAGCCTCGTCATACGTACATGTCTGTCACCCTACCGACGCTGCTCTGTGTTTCCATGTCTGTGTCTGTGTTCGTGTCTGTGTCTACTACAGTAGCATGCCATGATGCAGGTACCCATCGGCCTTCCCAACCCAACCAGATGCCCAATGGCCCAGTACCACCATGCAGAGCCGTTTGTACCATCCGCTCGTTCCAGCGCCTCTGCCTGCCAAAGTGCGCCCACCCGAGCACAATAACGGTAACCTCACAAGATTGAAGGACCCATACTACTATCCACCCTTGTACCACCTGCATCCGCACCCTTCCACCCCACCACACCCTGCCCAAACCCACCCAAAGCCCTCACATAGCCTCGATATCAGACCCATCTTGACTGCTGTTCTTGCAACGTTGCGCTATTATCTGCGGAAATTATTTGCCCTGTCGGTACTCACTCATTTGCGCGCGTCCCGGATCCTGAAACAAACGGGAATAACGACACCAACACGGACACGTTTCATCCAGCCGAACGGTCCCTGCTGATCTGCCCTGTCCCAAGAGTCAGCTTCAGACCGCGATTTGCGCTCAGCCAACAACATCCCTCTACCACCTGGCACCACCAAGCACACTGTCACACACGCATACGCACAAGGCCCGCATACCATGTCTCTGGACCCCAATGCCGCACTGCTGTCTCAGTAGCACGCCACCCAACTCCCAGCCTGTTTGAACATCCACCATGCATGCATGCTTGCCCTTGTCCTGGTAGTAGCATTCGTGTTTGTTGCTAGCCTCGACTAGTCATGGCCCTCCATTCTCACCTCATGTCTCTCTGCCTGTACCCCTGCCCCACGCACATTCTCGATCGATGCCAAAAATGCCGGGCCCGTAGTAATTACCAAACCTTATTCACGAGCCCCGGATTGTGGATGACTGATCCTCTCTCTTGGTCGTGACGTAGGGGCTGATCGACTACTCACAGATCTGGCCCTTGTGTCAGTTATGCCAGGCTGACGGGACTTCCAAGCACTCACATTGTATCACCGCTTCTCCTGACCGTCCACCCCCCACCAGAGGCTTCGGCCAACTTTCCCAGGTTCAAATGCATCTCCATTACCAACCCATATCTGGCGTATACTTTGGAGTTTGATGATTTGATGCCACGGTATACTCAAAATGCCGCTCTTGAGCCCTTGATGATGGAGTGCGAGCCCAAACAAGATGCTGGAAATGGTCTTTACTAATCAGGAAATTTGTCTATTATTATCATTACAACAGGCATGGCGACCAAATCTCCGTCTGCATGCCGCTGCTGCTGCTGCTGCTATTGCTGCCATCATCCAGGTTTCATTTCAAAACTTTACTGACATTCTGCAAACATTCGCCTCCGTGCTCAATACTTACCCTGTTCGCACAAGGCCACAAGCGGCATGCACATGTCCCAAACGGTACCAACGCGTGGGGCACTAACATCGTCGTGCCATGGCCCGGTTGTTCTTTCCGTCAATCGTTTGCTCAGAGTTGTGTCCAGTCAGTGTTGGGTCTTTAGCGCAAACGTCCGGCCACGGCATGCTCTCCTCGCAAATCACATCGTCCGCGGTGCTCACTCAATACTCCCAAAACGGCAAGTACAGTGGGGTCTGACGCATTACACAACCCGCACAGCCAGAGCCAGAGCTATTACCCCGCCCCAACGGCTGATGAAGGAGATTCGTACATGGCCAGGTGGGGGTCTTGAAATATTTAACCACCTGTTCAACCCATTCTTCTTCGTCTTGCTCTTTTCCCCCTTCACAACGCCTCGAACCATCTGTGGAATCAATTCCAATTCCAACCAATTCATCATTCGTACTCATCCACCTGCTCCAACCTGTGCCCTAGAGTCAGAACTGACCATCATCCAGATACTCGAACCTCAAGTATGGCTGCCACAGTGCAGGCTGTGCTCCGCACGCGCGTCTTGTCCTCAAGTCACCTAGGTACTTTCTACAGCTAAGTATACTGCATGAGCCGGTGTTCGTCTCTAGCCATGCCCATCTTGACTACCTGCTGTGCATCTCCACTCTGGTTTCAAGCTGAGCATGGCTGGGTTCGTTCTGAGATTATACGGTTTCGAACTTGATCAGGATAATACCTGCGTAAAGGATCATGCACTGCTCTGCTCTGTCTCTACCCCTGTAGAACAGACCTAACGGACTGCAGGTTTCGACCCCTGAACACCTTCCGTCATGTCTCCTCCTGCTGCCCTGTACGAAAGGCCCGCTGCCGTTGACGGCAACGGTATTATCAAAGACCTGAATCTGAAAAAGGACCTTGCCGTCAAGGATGTTGCTGCTGTTGGTGGCAGCCAGGCCAAGACTGTTGCTGAGCTCGAGAACAACTGGGACAAATTCACCTTTGCCCCCATCCGCGAGTCGCAAGTCTCTCGTGCCATGACCCGCCGGTACTTCAATGACCTCGACGCCTATGCCGAGTCCGACGTGGTCATTGTTGGCGCTGGCTCATGTGGTCTCTCCACTGCCTTCACGCTCGCCACCAAGCGCCCCGATCTCAAGATTGCCATTGTCGAGGCTGGCGTTGCTCCTGGTGGAGGAGCGTGGCTTGGTGGCCAGCTCTTCAGTGCCATGGTCATGCGCAAGCCTGCCGAGCTCTTCTTGAACGAGCTTGGTGTGCCATACGAGGACGAGGGCGACTTTGTCGTGGTCAAGCATGCTGCCCTCTTCACATCCACCTTGCTGTCCAAGGTTCTGCAGTTTCCCAACGTCAAGCTGTTCAACGCTACGACCGTTGAGGATCTCATCACTCGTCCTGCACCTACCGCTAATGACCCCAATGCAGTTCGCATTGCTGGTGTAGTCACCAACTGGACGCTCGTCTCGATGCATCACGACGGTACGTTGAGCATTACTCTCTCCGCAACCTACACTGACAAACATTTCTACAGACCAGTCTTGCATGGATCCCAATACCATCAACGCCCCACTTGTCATCTCCACGACGGGTCACGACGGCCCCTTTGGTGCCTTCTCTGTTAAGCGCCTTGTCTCGATGCAGCAACTCGACAAGCTTGGCGGCATGCGCGGACTGGATATGCGCACCGCTGAGGATGCCATTGTCAAGCGCACCCGTGAGATTGTGCCCGGCCTGATTGTTGGCGGCATGGAATTGAGTGAGGTTGATGGTGCCAACCGGATGGGCCCTACCTTTGGTGCCATGGCTCTTAGCGGAGTCAAGGCTGCTGAAGAGGCCATGAATGTGTGGGAGGCGAGGCAGGCTCAGAACCTCGAGTCTTAGAAGGGCGTACTGTTGTTGAATGGGCCCGATGCAGGCTGTTAGTCTCGGGAGCGAGGATGGAAGCCATTGGCTCGCCAAGTGCCATGTGTAGCCGTGGGCATTGTTGACATTGTTGATAAATAACAAAGGAATGTGACGTTAAAGGCCGCACGCTTGACTGGATTCGTAACATGGATGTTTCTTGTAATCGCTTTCTCGGTCTGACGTGGCAAGCCCGCGGGACGGAAGACTCTGATCGGCGTGGGCTGTGTTTGTTAGAGATGTGATGCGCAAGAGCAAGCACACGTGGAGAGTGCTTTGAACCGGTCAAGTAAAGGGCCCATTGTCCATCTCGAAGATTCCAAGGGTGGATCGGCCATGAGGGGAGGGGCGCTGGAGGCGCCAGGATTGTGCATTAGGAGGGCGCACGGGTTGCTGAGCGACTGGCTTAGCGCGAACGCAACTACGGCAGTACCGTGCGGGCCATAAACAACGCTCACAACACATTCAACCCCCGCCTCTCACAGTATAGGATCAATCTCCCCCCAACGGGCCCTTTTTGTGCCCATCATGGAGAAAGAG